GAATCGAGTTTGTCGGTTTTCTAGATTTTCCAAACGTACGTAAAGATAGTACTGGAACTTACGCCGGGTCTGTAGCCAATCACGTTGTTGCGAAGTGTTCTTCGCCTTCAAAAACCCATCATATGAAGATACCGGCTGTCCGCAGTTTTCATTGAAAGAATCAATCATCGAAAACCCATCATTCTTCATCCACAAAGCTGGATACGATCATGTCACGATACTCGTACCTTGCCCTTCTGTTGGTACTACTGTCCCATCACCATGATGGTTTATGCCAAGCGTTCCACCTTACCCCTCATGTAAAGCATTGCAAGTTGCAAGCAACCGAGGACAGCTGGTCCATTGCCGATGATTGGGATTCCTTGTCGTCTTCCTCCCAAGAGAACTCCAATTTTGACAGTGCGACAATCTTTAACCAGCACCCAGCCGACCATGCGGCCAAAGAATTTGAAGCCCGGGAAGATAATGGGGTAAAAGAAGCCTCCGGTGAAGACCCGTGGCTGACTGATGTGATTGAAGAAATTTATCATCCCTTGCCCACTGTCCAAGACAACCTGTACGATACAGGTTTTGAAGAAGAGGACTTTGGCTCCGCTGCATCATCGGACGAAGTAATGGATCAAGAAATTGCTATGTTAGTCCGGTGTAATGAGCAACCTGGAGATCTTCTTATCAATGAAGGAAGAGCCATTGCCCCATTGACGGAAGAAGAAAAGAACGATCCTTTTCAATTAGTTCAGTTTTCGGAACAACACAAGTTTCAACCCACTGAGTTCTTGAGACGTACTATCAGTAACATGTTCGATCAACACGCAACACCTGATGAGCAAGATGGAGTTCCATGTATGGATCGAAAGGGAATTGCAAAATGGATGACCCAGAGTCTTTCATCAGACAAGAACGAAGGGGTCGTGAGTGCTCATGATAAGCGTGTCGTGATAAGCCTCTCTCAATTCTCTCGATACGGCAGTGGCCGACTAGAAAAGGAAGACTTTCATAAGCTCTATCTTTCCGCCATTCTGGGTGATGCCTCCAAAGTTGATGGAGTAGATTCATCCAAACGTTATTTGCAGTTTCGGAAATCCAACATTGATGCCGTCTGGCGAGATATTCGCAATCATGGCATATTATCTCCCTTGGAACAGGAACGAAAACTACTAACGGAACAACTCCAGGCGAAAAACCCAAGAAACGCTGCTACTGTAAACGGCGAATCTGTCATGGACGAATGTGAAATATTGGATTTCAACTGGGGAGCGACGAGGAACGAAGAGTCCAAATGGGATAAGAGTCACGCAAGAGGAGATTTTAGTAGTCACGAAGGTGTAGAGTTTGCGAGGGATAAGAAGACCCCTTTGCGAATTAAGGATGGAGAGTTTGGTAAGTGATGATGCGGGTTTTGCGACTACTGTTGAGCACCCATTCTCATGCTGCTGTATGTCAAAATAAAGTCTTTATTGATGAGGATTCATGCATCGGATGTATGCAGGTAAGTGATGATGGAGGAATATCGAGCGTTTGTATAATACACTTCTGATCAACTAATATATGCATCCGATGTCGTTGCTACAGTGTGCCAACGTTGCACCGGCGTCATTCATGATGCTCGATACTGGGAGAGCGAGAACCTTTAATCAACGAAGCTCCCCTGAAGTGGACCAAGCAGTAGCAAGTTGTCCCGTAGACTGTATGCACTCAGTCACGTTTCGAGAACTGAAGGAATTCGAGGATGTGCGAGATAACGGAGATGGCCGTACCGACCACAAGTATTTGGGCCGGAAACTAACACCACTTCATGTTGTGGAGAGTGACCACAATCGTCGGTCATCTTGGTATCATACACTGAAGCACAAGTGTTTGGGTAAGTCAGATCATTGTGATTAACATGAAACACACAATGACGTGTCACAGTCCCTAACTGATCTCCCTCCAGTTTCCTCCGAGTGCCCACAGAAAGGATGCTATGATTGTCCAAAGTTCTCCAAAGGCGAAAACCCTTTCTTTCAGAAAAACTGCAAGGACGCCCAACATACCAGAGCACTACACTTTATGGAAAATGGCGATGCAGATACATGGCGAAACACTGCAGATTTATAAATAAATTCACCTTTACCATTTAAATATCCTAAAAAAACAGATTACAACTACTACACTTTATGGAAAATGGCGATGCCATCGAGCGAGTCAGTTCATGTATCATTTATTTTTATATTTACGTAATTTCTGAAAGAGAGCAAAAGAGACTGCCCTAATGTCGCACTCATCATCAATTCGTACCGATCACACATCCTCAAAGCCTTCAACCTACTCATGGGTCCAGCTATGTCTCTTTTGGGAAATTCTTTGCTATGGCATGGGCATAGAAGGCAACAAACTCGTTGAAGTCGACATTACCGCTCTTATCAATATCAATCACGGAGAACAGCAAATCAAAGTCACTTCGGCTCATACTACCAACCTTTCCAGACTCCAAGAACGCCCAAAGCTCTCCTTTCTCGAGGGTTCCTCCCTTATCCTTGTCGATCTTGTTAAACTCGGCGACCAATTGATCGGGTGACAGAGCATCAGAGCTACCATTGACGGTGACGCCCTCCGCAACGCGATTCGCAAACATAGTACGCACAACAGCCTCCTTTTGCTTCATTTGACGTCTGTACAGAGCGAACAAAGCAAGGAATATGACCAACGTGATGGCTACCAAGATACCAACGACTGGTCCTGCCAAGACGTATGCTTCTGGCTCTTGATACGGGGTCACGGCACACTCCGGATCGTATTCGCACCAATCGCTTTCATGAGGACAGTAGCCAGACAGACAACCATCTTCAGATGGTTTTTGGTTGGACGGCACATCGTACTCGAGGTAGGCTGCTTCGACTGCATCACGGAACTGCCTCGATGATGCCATCCGGGTGGCGAAAATGCGTGTCGAAGCCACAAATTCGTACTCTTCGCCTTCCGGAGTAGATGTGTTATACTGATCGATGGTAGTGGATAGTTGGCTGCATTCTGCATCAAGACATGCAGAGGCGTACTGGACGAGCACACCACCTTCCAGGTAGCTCGAGAAGTGATTGCTTTCACCGGCAGGAAGACTGACATAGGACTGGCGATCAAGATTTATGCCCGAAATGGTTGACCCGAATGGCAACATCGAAACGCTTCCATCCTTCTCGAAGGTACTTGTTCCAAAGCGTTCATAAAAACCAGAGGTACCATTCAACCCACATTTGCCTGGCAAAATGACATTCTGCATTCCTTTCGGTACGGGTTGGTTGCAGAAGGATGCTGGTGGAGGAGGGAAGACTGAAGTCATTTGTTCGTATATTCTCGAGCCGCTCAACGTGATGTTGATGAACGTTTTGTAGGGGGCTTGAGAATATGGCATTTTATTTGGGGCAAAACCAGTTGCACCTTCCTCAAGATAGAATGGATCAATGACTCGCCCATCAGGACCATACGCTGTTGCTGTTCCTTCGTAGAACCCTTCGAACTTTTTCCAAGCAGGATTCTGATCCGCAATGGCGTTGGAAGCGGTGGGATCGTAGCGAATATCGCTTTCTGCAAGACAACTCGACGAGTACCAACGACCGCAATCGACCTCGTCAAGGCGCCTACGGTCAGCAGCTGGTTCATTATCTACTTTTGAAAGGGATCTTTGGCTATGCTCCTGAGACGGATCACTGTAGCTGTCAAGAAGCTGTGTCGTTGACGAATCATAGAGATGCTTCACTCTTGACTCAACGAGCAGCTCGAGCAATTGTAGATCTGTGAGCTCATCAAGCGTGGTCTTGTTGGCCAACAACTTCATTGCGTTTGGACTATTGCGTACGTTCTGAACGAAGGTAGGGTGTCTCTTTTGTAGCTGTTTGGCAATGAATTGAACCATTTGATGGTCGAAAGCAACATTCAAAAGGGTCAACATGTGAGCTGGAAAGTCACCGCAGTTTTGGATGATAGAATCGTAGTTCTTCATGCTGTCTGGATCAGAAGCAGCTTCGGCTTGCACAGTGTGGAATGCATTCGCGATCTCTGAAAGGGGGAAGGTTCCAATCGGGAGACCTGGAGGATCCCTTGCGAGGGTGACGTTATGGACATTGACTGTACGAATTCCGAAATCAGCGTCAGTCGGCTTCGCAAGGCGATCACTTTGCTCCATGGCTACGCTTGGACAATCAGAATCATTGTGTTTCAAGACTGGGGTTGAAACCACGAAGACATGTCCGTCAACAAAGAGAGAAGTCTCATATTGAATATCGGAACATGACTGAAGGATACCAGCCCAACCATCATCTTCAAGCTTGCTCAGTAGCCTTACTCTATTATGGTCAATGCCACACGAAAAGGCAAAGGCATCAATGCAAGGCGCAAAGAGGTTTGCAACAAGAAAGGCAGCGGCTAAGAACTTCATCATACCAGGTATGATCTTGAACAACTGCAATTTTTGTTTTATATGCTTCGAAGTGTAATTTTTATTCTACAGTATTAAAATACCACACCGCAGTACATTACATCACCACTGCAGGCTGCGCTCTTGTCCCGCAACCCGGCTAATTTTTTTTTGTTTCCAGTTTTTGTGGATCACGCTTCTGCAAATCTTTCCGATCAAACGAAAACGAAACGCATTTAAGGTAGAAAACTGATATTCAATATTGGAACAGGAATGAAGGATACCGGCCAAACTATCATCTTGAAGCTTGCTCAGTAGCCGTCGCCCCACAACATGTTTGCGGCATTTACTGTAGTTACAATGGCATCAATGCCAGGCGCAAAAAGGGTTGCAACGAATGCAGTAGCTAAGATTTTCTGTACATGGCCACACAAAAACAACTATGGGTAGACCGGCCTTTTCCTGGAAGTTCATTTTTATACACTACAAGCTTTCGACCATTTGATCGGTTGGTACCCAATCCGTCTTTCCATTTCGTCTGTGCCCGATCCCATAATACCGATACATCCTTTGCGAGACAGGAGCAATGTAAAACTTGGATCCAGTAGATGCCAGGCTCGAGCTTTTCGGAACCCGAGTCCACGAAACCGTATATTCGTTCCTTGAAATCAGGTCGCATTTTTTTCAAAATCTGCATCCATCTCGCCTCCCTGTACATGGCTACGCTTGGGCTGGACAGTCAGAGTTACATTGTTTCATGGCTTCATGGTTTCATGGCTAGCGGTGTGGATACGACAAGCACATGCTTCTCAACAAAGAGAGAAGCCTCGTATTTGACTTGAGAATATGACTGACTGGAGTTTACCATTCCAATCCTCATCTTCAAGCTTGCTCAGCAGCCTCCTCGTATCCTGACTCGGTACAGGGAAGGCATTGAAACAAGGAGCGAAGAGGATTACAACGGTGGCAAAAGCTAGGACGAAGTTCATCACCTCAGCGTAAAACTATCAGCTCGACAATGAACAGTTTTCCTCGACATTTTTAATCTCACTTGACATTTTTAATACGACTTTCGGCTGTTTCTGAGTTGAACGAATGGAAACATACAAAATACGATACCTTAGTTATATACATGCTGCTGGCACTGTTTGCACTTCTGCTCCACCTCTCATGGGATCCCATAGTAATGTACTGTAGGTGGTAAGTCGTAAGATCAATTTAGAAGCACGAAGAAACATTTCCTATAATCATTCAATCTTGCGTTTCGTTTTTTGCAGGAGGCCATATTGTTTTATATGCGCCTTGTGTCTGAAGAACTTCGCACCTGCTGGTACCGGTACGATGAGTTCTGCAAATGAGTTCTGCAAGAAGAGAAACTAAAAAAGATATGCTTTTGACACCCAAAAATTGCCTTTGTGATGAAGTTCCTCGCATCTTCCTTCATTACCACCCTTTTTGTGCCTGGCATTGATGCCGGGTCTTCGTTTTGTACTACTGACACTAGGAGGCTACTGAGCAAGCTAGAAGATGATGGCTGGGTTGGTATCCTTCAGTCATGTTCCGATGTTGAATATGAGACTTCTCTCTTTGTTGACGAGCATGTGTTCGTGATTTCAACCCCAGTCTTGAAATACAATGATTCTGATTGTCCAAGCGTAGCCATGGAGCAAAGTGATCGCCTTGCGAAGCCGACTGACGCTGATTTCGGAATTCGTACAGTCAATGTCCATAACGTCACCCTCGCAAGGGATCTTCCACGTCTCCCGATTGGAACCTTCCCCCTTTCAGAGATCGCGAATGCATTCCACACTGTGCAAGCCGAAGCTGCTTCTGATCCAGACAGCATGAAGAACTACGATTCTATCATCCAAAACTGCGGTGACTTTCCAGCTCACATGTTGACCCTTTTGAATGTTGCTTTCGACCATCAAATGGTTCAATTCATTGCCAAACAGCTACAAAAGAGACACCCTACCTTCGTTCAGAACGTACGCAATAGTCCAAACGCAATGAAGTTGTTGGCCAACAAGACCACGCTTGATGAGCTCACAGATCTACAGTTGCTCGAGTTGCTCGTTGAGTCAAGAGTGAAGCATCTCTATGATTCGTCAACGACACAGCTTCTTGACAGCTACAGTGATCCGTCTCAGGAGCATAGCCAAAGATCCCTTTCAAAAGTAGATCATGAAGCAGCTGCTGACCGTAGGCGCCTTGACGAGGTCGATTGCGGTCGTTGGTACTCGTCGAGTTGTCTTGCAGAAAGCGATATTCGCTACGATCCCACCGCTTCCAACGCCATTGCCGACCAGAATCCTGCTTGGAAAAAGTTCGAAGGGTTCTACGAGGCAACAGCAACAGCGTATGGTCCTGATGGGCGAGTCATTGAGCCATCGTTTTCTGAGAAAGGCGCAATTGCTGTCGTGGCCAATCGAATGCCATATTCTCAAGCCCCCTACAAAACGTTCCTCAACATCACGTTGAGCGGCTCGAGAATATACGAACAAATGACTTCAGTCTTCCCTCCCTCGCCAGCATCCTTCTGCAGCCAACCCGTACCGGAAGGAATGCAGAATGTCATTTTGCCAGGCGAATGCGGGTTGAATGGTACCTCTGGTTTTTATGAACGCTTTGGAACAAGTACCTTCGAGAAGGACGGAAGCGTTTCGATGTTGCCCTTCGGGTCAACCATTTCGGGCATAAATCTTGATCGCCAGTCCTATGTCAGTCTTCCTGCCGGTGAAAGCAATCACTTCTCGAGCTACTTGGAAGGTGATATTCTTGTCCAGTATGCTTCTGCATGTCTTGATGCAGAATGCAGCCAACTGTCCACTACCATCGATCAGTACGACACGTCTACTCCGGAAGGCGAAGAGTACGAATTTGTGGCTTCGACACGCATTTTCGCCACCCGCATCGCATCATCTAGGCAGTTCCGTGATGCAGTCGAAGCAGCCTACCTCGAGTACGATGTGCCATCTGATCAAAGACCATCTGAAGATGGATGTCTGTCTGGCTACTGTCCTGATGAAAGCGATTGGTGCGAATACGATCCTGAGTGTGCCGTGTCGCCGTATCAAGAACCAGAAGCGTACGTCTTGGCGGGACCAGTCGTTGGTATCTTGGTAGCTATCACGTTGGTCTTCTTCCTTGCTTTATTTGCTTTGCACAGACGTCAAATGAAGCAAAAGGAGGCTGTCGTGCGCACCATGTTTGCGAATCGCGTTGCGGAGGGCGTCACCGTCACTGGCAGCTCTGATGTTCTGTCACCCGATCAATTGGTCGCCGAGTTTAACAAGATCGACAAGGATAAGGGAGGAACCCTCGAGAAAGGAGAGCTTTGGGCGTTCTTGGAGTCTGGAAAGGTTGGTAGTATGAGCCAAAGTGACTTTGATTTGCTGTTCTCCGTGATTGATATTGACAAGAGCGGTAATGTCGACTTCAACGAGTTTGTTGCCTTCTATGCCCATGCCATAGCAAAGAATTTGCCAAAAGAGACATAGCGGGATTCATGAGTGGTAGGTTGAAGGCTTTTAGGATGCAGCATTTTTTCAGTACGAACTGAACTCTACTCCGGCACCACTCTAAACCTACTATCCGAAATCGACTTTATAAAGTAGTAAGTAAATCTGATATTATGTTTTAGGTGATTCTACGTACAACTCTGCGGCCTTTCATCTTAGTGGTGCGTATAGTGATTTGCCACGGATTCGATGATGTGATCGTCGATAGGTCTTGGCTGTTTCATTTTCGGCTCGTCTTGTCTTGCGAATGGATCTGCTATTGACATTGAAAATAACTAAAGTATAAAATTGCTTTCACCATACATCCGCCTCGCCATTTCTATAAACCGTTGTGCTCGCTGTGTCCGGAGGCCTTGACTATTTTCTGAATGTGGGACTGTTCGTGGTGTATAATTTTGGACGACCAAAGCATCCTTTGTTGTGGACATTCGGAGGAGCATGGATGAAGATGAGTGAGTGGAATAGATATGAGATCATACATTCCAACCGAAATGGAATGATTTGACAGTTGTGTTTCAGTGTATGTTTCCAAGATGTGGTGTTAGTTTCCGGCCCAAATACTTGTGATCGGTAAGACCTATTCTATTATATGGTATTCAACAGTGATCTGAAACCCATTCCTTCTGTTGCGGATTTGAGATTCTAGCATATACCTGGTCCATTCCCATGGATGGCCTCCGTAATACCTCATGGCCCAAAAGACATTTCCGTATTCGATGGAAGCATTGTCGAACTTGTTGTGTTCGTTTCCTTCGCCTTCCGTAAAGCCGTTCATATGGACCATGGCAGCTTTGGGTACATTCTTGACAAGTCGCGTTCCATCACCTTTCCAGTGCCAGAAGTTATCGGCTCGGTGTAAGTTCCACTGTTCGGGCAAGTATGGAAATAGGTCGGGATGAGCATTGGAGAGCTTTCGTAGAATGTACTGATCATCAATTTCATCTTTTGTAGTAGCTCCTATTGAATGTGCCCCCTTGACTAGTTTCCAAAAGTCTCGCGTTCTCATTTGGTCCAATCCAAACCCAGAGCATTTGGCATCTCCCCATTGCAAAATGCTGGTAGCATTCCGATGTCGCCAGAGGTCTCCCAAATTGGACAATACCGCTGTATCCGTATCCATATAAACCACATACTTCACGGTCGGTGGTAAAACTTCAAAAGCAAATAGGCGAAACATGGCTCCGATAGTGTGTCGTTTGCTCAATTGATAGTTTGTTGCCTCTTCAAAGATACTCTGCCAACGTGACTTTCGATTTTCCACATTATAGCTCTTGATGGCAATTTGATTTCTAGCAACCCATTCACTGAGTTGAATGGATTCAAATCGTGGATGGATCGCCTTGTAGGCAGTCGCGTCCGTCATGATATGAATGGTCATGCCACAATCCAAAGGACCATTCAATAAAGACGACTTGAGGGATCCAGAAAATTCGTCCAAAAAGTTTTTGTTCTGTCCACTGATTGTGTACAGAACATGAACCTCGTCCTCCATTGGACAAGTAAATAACTTGTATTTTGATGCTGCTGCTGCCGCTCCTGCTGCGGGACCCTGCATATCCTGTGTAAAAGCTCCAAGGTACACGTTGATGGTCATACCCAAATAAAATCCAATCAACAATGCCAGAAATATTGCGAGGACAGAAGGCACCGAAACCCCACGATTGGCTTTCGTAATATCAACATTCCAATATTCTGTGCCTTTAGCTTGCAGTTTCGTTCTTCTTCCTCGTTGTCGATTCAGTTTCATTGCATCTTCCACTATCTACCGGTATATCATGATTTACTATGTTTTTGTGGCAGCCGCTCCTCATCATCTCTATATATAATATTCAATATTGTTGTCGCACTGATTGATTCATTCGACCATCTAGATTTAGGCCTTTCTGCGGGATGATGATTCTCCGCATTTCTTGTTTCTCCTCGTATAAAAAATAAACGAGTATTCAATATTTTATATGTTGGCCTTCCAAATATCTTTAGACACAACACGATACTATATATATATATTTGCAGCACAACAATCCAACAAAAGAAACAATGTCCGGCAAGAGAAACGAGGAAGAAAAAGACCCAGTCGATTGGGGGTAAAGAGTACAGTCTGAAGGAATCTTCGGATAAGAATTGGCTCCGCAAAGTTGGCTCGGGAATCATGACTGTCACACTGGCTCCCATCACGGTTCCCCTATTGGGATTAATATCCATCGCCATGGCAACGCCGCTGAGACAAACACTATTTTCAATGTTTATTCCGAGATGCATGAACAAGGTAGATGAAGAGTTCAGCGAGGAGAGGACCAAGCTGCTGTCCACGATAACTGGAGGTTCCGTTCTGGATGTTGGGTCCGGAGGGGGCGCCTATTTTCGGTATTTCAGCAAGGCCGACCGAGTCGTAGCTGTTGAACCGCAGGAAATCGTGTATCCAAAGTTGAATGAAGCTGCAAAACAAAATGGATTAGTGGATTCATCAAAAGATTTTTCCATTGTTGGAGATCTGAAAGATGTGGAGGGCACATTTGATCACGTCGTGTTTGGAAATGTACTGTGTGAGGTACCCAACGTAGACGAAGCCCTCCAGCAGGTGGACAAACTATTAGCACCAGGAGGTCGTGTGTACTTCTCAGAGCATATTGGTCGTCCTACTGGGACTTGGATTCGTTTGTTCCAGGACTGGTACAACCCACTCCATTGTCACATGACACTTGGATGCAACTGCAATCGAGATTCTTTGGACAAGATACGTTCGATGAAGAATTGGGATGTCGTCTCTTGGAAGTATGAACATTTTCAAGTTTGTATGGGGCCGTTCGTCATGGGACTGGCAGTGAAGAAAGATTGATCAAAGCCGTGTCTTGATGTCATCTCGGTCACCTGGATCCCACTACAATTGGGGTATTTTTGGTCTACCCAAACTAGTCTTTTGTGACAACGAAATAACGCTTTACTAATCTGGCACTCCTTCTTCGCGCAACGGCACTGATCATAGCGTCACATGAAACTGTAGCCGGAATGGAAACCATTGCAATAAAATATGATCGAATCTTTCGTCTCTTTTATATAAAATCATTCGGTTATCAAAGACAAGCCGTATGCACCATATTTTCGCTCATCCTCGGCTCCTTTGAGTCTTCTATCGACATCCAAGAATTGCGGTATTTCGACTTTGCACTTGGCCTCTCTTGCACTGTCAGTACCTGTCTCCACCTGGGCATGAAGGAAGCAAAGCCCCTTCGAAGGTTTCTCATATTGCTGTTGCATAGGAAAGGAACAAGGAAGAATGACGATGAGGAATGCAACCACAAAAGTACCGGTTCGACAAAAAGACTTACGTGGATAGTGAAGCTCTGAAGCTTGTACAAGAAACTGATACGCTTCTGCACAATGATGTGGCGCGATGAATCTCTAGACTTGTATGCCGTGTTGTATTCCCGAGCATTGATTATTCTGAGAAGGAAGGTAAGCAACCCATTTCCGATACAGAATGACAACTGTGAGAACCAGTAACTTACCTTTTTTGTTCAATGGTTTCTCCATCTGCAGTTTGTTGAACCGTCGTAATTTGGTACACTGTCCCCATCAATTTTCCATCTCTATCAATTGTTGTCCGCTTGCGAATGAAACTGTAGGATTCCTTATCAGCGTCCTGGTTCACAAGGTAGACCTAGCAAGCAACAATGATCAGATTGGTAGATACAGAAAACCAAAACGACTGCGGTTGGCTTACCTTTTCCACCTCAAAAGAATGATATACAACATCTTCGGGGAAACTTTTAGGATCGGGAACGCTTTTCAGCAAAAACTTGGCCGATCGTCGAGACAAATTGGATGGCAACCCAACCAGCTTGGAGATAGTGTCAACGATGCGTTGCAACTTTCCTTCAAAGTCAGTTGCATTGTCAAAGACATAGTGATGTGCGTGTCCCGACCAAGCCTTTTGCGTCTTTCTATCAAGAGTCATTGCGGTTGCCGCATCTTCAGATCTCACGGCGTTGTTTTCGAGGGTGTAGAATGCTTCAGCTCCATCAGCAGCTGTCACCATATGTAAGACTGCATTGTACCTCCTAGATAATTGAAATTGTGGCAAATTTTGAGACCAGGATCACTCGAAACCATTGCATGGGCGATCGATTGGTTCGAAGACTCACCTATCCCTAAGATCAGTGACAGTCACACCTCGCTCTTTAAGAATCGAATTCCACTTCTCTTCCGATAGATACGCAGCACCATCCATGGGACCTCTATCACAAAGCAAGACTGCAGGCTTGCCAAATCCTCGCAGCGTTTTTTCAAGTCCTTCCTCCATGGAAATCTGAATATCCATAACACTGTTCTGGATGATTTTGTCCATTCCATCAACGCCAAACTGTACAGATGTCCCAATGCCGTTAGTCCCAACAGATTAAGACGGGCGTAGCTGAAATGTTGGTGGCCGAGATTGGTAACTTACAAAATCCAAAGAAAGACCATTTGAAGCCAAGATTGTGAAACATTCCGGGCAGGTAATAACTTCAAATCCTCTGAATGTAAGGACGACACGATGCAATTTTGTTAATACAAATAGGAATAGGAAAATCTAGATTTCGTCAAGGCATACCTCTCTCGCAAGTAGGAATAAATTCTAGCCAATGCAGTGGTTTTTCCTGCACATGGTCCTCCAGTAAGCTATCATAGCGAATGAAAGAAAGCGGGTGTTGGTCAATAATCCTGCGACAATCCGAAAGGTATCAAATTCACAACTTGACTGACTGAGACTCACAACAAATTTGAAGAATGGGATTTTTTCCTTGCTTTGTAGGTTTGTTTCAGCAGGCGAGATAGATTTCGTCATTGTTTTTCTTTTCATCACTTGGTTGAGGTCGATTGCAAGAGATGATATGACTTCAATGATGATGACGAGACGCAGCCTCCAAATAAATGAAACGCATTGCGTATTGCGTTACCAATTTTGGGACTAAAGTAGTCATATGTTAGGGTCAAATTGAAAATATATGCTGGTATAAAATATTACACTACATGTGACGCTTTGCCAACCTTTGACACAGTTGTACTACCCTCCAATTCATCATCTTTTCCTCTCTTTCGTTCGTATAGCACTGTGGCAATTGCTACAACGAATACGGCACATATGCCATATCGTATTGTCCCCAGAAATGAGTGTTTCTGGGCCGGTTCTTGTTCAGTCAGTATTTCAAACTCGCATCCATTGCCATAGTATCCATCAATGCAAGCACAGCGATGTGATCTGAGTGCACAACATATGTTTAGATTCCACATCATTTTTTTGAAGATTATCACAAGCACTGGCTGTTGCACTACTTACCCGTCTTGAGCAACCTCGCATGAGCCACCATTGAGGCACATGTGCTCCCCTTCTTGACCGCATTCTTCAAACTCGTAGTCACACTTTACCCCAAAGTACCCTAGGGGACATACGCAGTGTTCAAAATTTATATGAGTCTCTTGAATGAGGTGTGACACTTCCACTGCAAATTTGCCGTAAGATTCCATTCCTTTTTCACCCTTGTGGCAAGTTCCGTCATTCGAGCATTGAAGACTGCATTCCGAGTAAGAAGCAGCAGCAGTGGAGTCGTCGTCGATTCGAGTCGCACAGCGGGGGCCTTTAGAAGGAGAAAAAAGTCAGGTACTCGAAATGCTGACCAAGCACACAATACAAATAGCCATTCCGATAAAACTCACCTGCAAATCCCTGTGGACAGCTGCAGGGTGAATGATCCAGTGCTCCACATTTTCCTTCGTTCACGCAAAATTGTCTCCCCTCCTGATGATCTTCTTCCGTGCAGAATATGCTAGACGGATATTCACAATATCTGCCAGCGTAGAATGTACTATTTGTGTATGCTGGTGTGCAATCGCACATGTGTTCGTTTTCTCCGATTGGAATACACTTGGAACCATGTTTGCAAGAATCTTCACCGCATAATGGATCATTGTCGTCGTCATCATCCTCATCATCTTGTTGGTCACACAAGTCACCATGAAATCCATCTGGACAATCGCAAGACCACTCGGTATTCGTTTGGAAGCCCTCTCCGACAACACCAGTGGCAACACACTTGGCGTTATTCCAGCAACTCAATGGGCAATTCACAGTAACCTCATTTCCACGGTCATCATTGTACGGTAGCTCACTGGGAGGGAGAGGGAAGAAATCGCCTGCAGCCGCAACTCGGCTTATTGCAAAGCTCGAAAGGAGAAGAGCTGCTGATTTCATTTTTTGGTTATTCGGCATCGTCATGCATGGTGCGGTGTTCTTTCGAATATTGAATTTTGATGCCACGAAACGAGAAGCTCAACGGACGTATCCCCCGAATTGAGAAGCCATAAAACGGGGAGGGTTCGATTGATTCGCTTCAAACATTTTGGCTTCGTTTTCATCATTGTTCATTTCGCACGTCGACGATGATGCATGACGAATTATGCGGAGACGATTGAGCGTCCCGAAGCGTAGACCATTTCGTATATCGCTTCATTTGGCCTTATTCATCTTCAGTTGCTTGGC